CCCCAAAACCCCAAAACCCCAAAACCCCAAAACCCCTTAAAAACTATAACATTTTGAAAATGAACACATGGATATTACTATGCTTGGCCTTGCTCTTCTCAGGAGTCATAGGAGAAGCAAAGGCAAGCCAGGATTATAATCTGCTGAATACCTTTAGAATCCCATTCCCTGCCTTTACACAGGGGTTTATTTACAATAACACCAATAAGTGGATTATCGAGAGCACTGGGCTGACAGGTCAATCTAGGATCAGAGTTTATACACTAAACGAGGACACACAAGAAGCTAGCGTCGCCAAAAGGAAATTCCAAAACCATAATAATGAGTTTGGAGAAGGACTTACTTATCTAAATGGGACCTATTACCAACTAACTTGGATGAACAAAATAATTCATTTATTCGATAGCAATTTCAAGCATTTAGGAAGTAAGCCATTACCTAAAGAGATGAAAGGGTCTGGATGGGGTATCACTACTGACAATCATTTCCTGTATGCTACGAGTGGAACAGATATTATTTTTAAAATTGACCCAGAGACTCTACTTACAGTTGAAGAGATCAAAGCTCTAGATACAGATGGCAGTCCTTTAAGAGGTCTTAATGAATGCCAAATTGTTGACAAAGATCTTTACTGAAACAAGGTAAATATATACTGATCATTCATAGTGGGGTTCGACAATTATATACAAGCTTAACTACAAGACTGGGCAATGTGTAAGAGTTGAATTTTGATGATTTAGATAACAAAATATGAAATGAAGCCTTTACTGGGTAAGTTTTAACTATATCTTTCGATCACTGGATTAATGCTCTTCCCATAAATATCTATCTTTTGACTAACATGTGTTTAAATCTGAAACTATTTATTTTGGCTTAAAAGGAGTGTCTAAAACATCAAAGCTAAGCTGTTCTACTTATCCTCAGAAGAGTTTTTGGCTACAAGCCTCTATTTAGTTTTAGTATTGATGTCCTATAGATAAGGTTGTCGAAACAATGAGAAAAGAGGCCACAGAAAAAGGTAACTCCTTTCGTTGGAGTAACTATGACCACATGAACAATGTATTGAATGGAATTGCTTTCAATCCTGATAAGAACACCTTCTATGTAACTGGGAAGAACTGGTATTATGTCTTTGAAGTAACCTTTAATGACTAATCAATCTATCTTGAACAAATTGGGGTTTTGGGGTTTTGGGGTTTTGGGG